CGGCCTTCTGGGGATCCCACAGTTCATTCATTGCAACATCATTACTAAATCCCAAGTGTCCTTCATGGTGCCGAAAACTGGGACCATGAAAATAGAGGGTCGGAGGGCAGCTGTGCAGGAAACATTACTCAGTCTCGGTGAGGAGGCCTGGTCCTCGGTATCTGCCAGCACTGAGCTGTGCCCCGTTCTAGTAACACTGGATCCTCAGTCCAGGGAGCGTCTTGCTGCCTGGACTGAGGGTCTTCTTTTTTAAGCTATTTACAGCACATGTCTGTAATACACCATGAATACGTGCATTGTATTGGGTAATTAATAAATGTACACAACACGTCTTAGTTCTTTGATCTCCCGTTCCCTTAAAACAGCGTAAGTTAAAGACCCTGACCACACTATCAGTGCATCAGGGTGTGGCGTTAGCATGGCCCTATTCCTGCGACTTTCACCCAACAGCTGGTAGTGAAATCATAGAAGGAGTTAGGGAAAAAACACTCAAAAAGTACTCTTCCACTGGGTCTTCCAAAGGAAAAAAAAGATACTTCTTTTTTACTTTTTCTATAAAGTCTAAAGCTCCATCCTTCTGCAGAATCCCTCACCCAGCAGTCCAGAGCCTCTAGGCAGCTGACGTGTCTGCTCAGAGACACAGTGAGGTGAGGCGGGTACAGTGCCACCAATCACAACTCCATAAAAGACGTTCAGAGTAAATGAAGATGACAGGGAAATCCGTCAGAGAAATACAGCCAGTTGGGGAGGGAAACTTTTCTACCTTCTTTTGTCTCTTTTGACTTTTCTGTAAGAAACTATATAATTTCTAAATGACTTTTTTAATAGGATTTACATCACCAAGTGAGAGCAGTTGTTGGCAAGATGTTTTCTGTCTGATGATGAGGAAGCCCCACCTCCCTTATTCATGCGTGGCCTCCTGCCGCACAGAAGATACGTTTAAGTTTCCTGTGCCATCCAAGTACAGTACCACCAAACACAATGCCCGTATCTTTTTTCCTTTAAAAGACCCAGCCCTTTGCCAGCCCCCGAGGCCTGAGGTTACTAGGCACATGGAAGGAACCGCCCATTTCCCTGCCTCCCAGGGAGCTAGAGTACCCAAAAAATCTCGACCTTTTCTGATAATTGTTTAAGGAGAGCAGTGCAAGGACCATGCTAAAAACCGACCTCTACTGCTCCTGTGTGTTCTGGAGGGGATGTAGAGTCAGCACTTTGCAGGGGCTGGATAAAATCAACAGTAGCTTATTGTGCAAACCATGGCAGTGGCCTGTGGTGCCCTCTTCTGCCCTTGGCTTATCTCAGTGGCTGTCCCTGAGTCTCAGAGCCACAGCAGTGGCTTTTCTCACAGGTAAAGAGAATCAGTCCCTACAAACCCCACATGCACTACTTTTCCTAAGGAGCTTGGCTGCCCGGAGCCACATGTGGTCAACCCAATGTAAGTGGAGGCCCTTCAGGCAGGTGGCGGTGGTGGTTTGCAGGGCTTTTCATCTTTTGATTGGCTGTTCCACACTGTTTATGAAGATTGAGTGAATGAAAATTTCACCTCTGCTGAGAAATGAAATCCTGGAAGAATAACTGTGTAAAGAGACAGTAACTAAGATGTGAAGCCCTTTTGGGCTTATTTGGGTTGTAATGATTCTCTGCAAGAGAGAAACGCCTCAGCCCTCCCTGTGTGTTTCAACTTTCTAAGACCCAGTGTATATCTGACATCTTTGCCCAAAGCAGGGGCTATTTAAATGTCTGAGAGCCTGTAGGTAGGATGTTGTTCAAAGGACCAAAGCGAAGCATTTGCTGCTCATTGGCGTGGACTTAGCCGCTCTGAAAACAGAAAAAGAGATGAGGTAAATATCCTTCTGTGCTTCTCCAGGAACAAGCCAGGAACTCCCACTTGCTATCGGTGTGATTCTTTCTTGCTATAGTGGCAACAAATCTCTAAAAAGACACAAGAGTGTGGGGTATTGTGGAGGTTTTTTCACATGGAAGAAAGCTTGCAGTCGACTGTTTTCTTCTGACTCTCTCTTAAAAGCAGCTTGAGTTGCAGAATCCCTGCTGAAATTTTATATGGCCTTTTGCTTCAAGGACTTTGAAATTAGCATTGTTGATTTTTCCTTTCTCCTGCCAGCTCTCTGTCCTATCTCCCTCATATTTTCTATTTGCTTTCTAGATGATTTTTAAATAGAGTAGCTCTTAGTATGGAAGCCCTCTTGACTTTCCCTGTGGCCAGAGCTATAGATACAATTTCGTTCTGAAAATATGTGACACAGTTTGGGGCAGAAGCAGAACAGCTTTGTTGTCACCAAAGGGGGAAACTCCACAACCCCCAAAAGGGCCACAACCTCCGTGTGTCAAAACATCCATGTTCCCATCAGACAGACCTCTGTGTTATTGATGCACCATCCAGGGTCTGTGTGCTGTTTGTTATCCAAAGGGTATAAAAGGGAAGTCAAACATTCTTTCATATCATTATAAGCCTTGTGCAAACACAGCACCGTGGACAAAGCCCTTTCCTGAGTCCATAATAAGGAGCTGTTTGTCCTGGCTGCCTGTGTGTTCTGCCACGATTTTGATTTCTTGGGCCAAAATTTGACAGGTGTCATGGGACGGAGTTACCAGGTGGAAGTTGAATCAGATCACCCATTGGGAGCCTTCAGCAAATGCCACGTTGCACAGGAAGTAACCTGACAAAGAAATTGCACCCAAACACAGAAAAGCCAAAGGATCATTTAGTGTTTGCTTTTGTGTGTGGAGATTAACTAGCCACAAATACCAGGAATGGGACTCAGGTCTGCCTGCATCTGGTGCAACCAAATAAAAAAGCCTGTGTGACCTTAGAATAGCTTCATCTTAGTCTTCTAAAGAGCACACACTTGCCAGTGTAGCACCTGAATAGTGACTGAGGGGTTAGTTTCTTTACAAAAAATATTTTAATCTAACCTCAGGTCTGTGTGTTTTTCTTGATACTCGGGTTGTATCTTCTGCAGCTGTGCTGTCTGACATAATAGACACACCCTGTACATGGCTAGTGAGCCCCCAAAAGGCAGCTATTCTGAGTTGTGACGTGCTAGTATGGTAAAAGATGCTTTGGATTTTGAACATCTACCAAAAAATAAGTAAAATACTTCATTAATAATTTTGTATTAATTGCACGTTAGAAATATGTTAGGTATATTTGGTTAATAACATTAAAACCAATTCCACGTGTTTATGTTTACTTCTTTCAGTGTTACTAGAAAATGAAAATCACTTACATGGCTGGTGGTTGTATTGTGTGGCACAGGGTTAGCGCATGAATGAAGTTTAGGTTTGTAGCGCCATCTTCTGGCCAATCTGAAGCAGACGCAAATGTAAGCAAAAATTAAGCAGTCTGAGCTGGGAATAGGCTTGTGCCTTCACGAAATGCAAGCCTCCTCTTAAAGGAGTTTCTGAAGCAGAACCATAGCTGAACCAAGAAGTCCCTGGATGAGAAGCAAAAGCCTTAGAAAGTGTATTAGCAGGTTTCCTGAAGATGTAGGTCTGTATTCTTTGCCGAATGGGCGCTGAGAAACCAGAGACATAGAGAGCCTTGGATTGCTTCTTACCTGCTGCACAAGGCTCTTGATGCACAATTCCATTCATTTCTGTTCTCCTCTTAAGAAATACATCAAATTGCATAGGATTGTGACCAAATAGTTAACCATACAGGAAAGACACGACCCTCCCTCAAAAGACTGGCATCCTCTGTTTAGATAATCTTTACCTTGGACTTGTCAAGTAGAAATCTCATTAATGAAGGGTCTGCATGGGTTATCTATTGACGCATAATAAATCACTGCAAAGCATAATCATTTAATATCTCACAGTTTCCAGGAGTCAGAAATTCAGGGGTGATTCAGATAAGCAATTCTGGTTCAAGAGCTCTCCTGTGTTTAGAGTCAAATGTGGGCTGGGGCTGCTGTCAGCTGAACATTTGACTGGAACTGGAGAATCCATGTCCAATGTAGTCGATTCATAGGACTGGCAAGATGATGCCCGCTATTGGCCAGAGGCATCCGCTGCTATCCACATGGGCTCTTCCCAGGGCTACTTTTGTGTCCTCAAAGCATGACAGCTGGTTTCCTCCAAAGCAAGCAATCTAAGTGGCCTAAAATGCAGTGCCTCTTAGGACCTAGCCTCTTTATAGAGAAATATCAACATTACATTGTGAAAGAAAATGTGAGAGGAAATGGCCACTTAGGGGAAAATATGATCTGCTGAAGTACCAAACACTCACACAGCTACCCTGCATGAAACTGTACAGATAAAAGCATTCCCTGTTTTTCACATGAGGAAATTGAGACTCAGAGGTGTAGAATAGCTTGCCCGATGTCTCATGTCTGGTAAGGAAGACTAAACCCAGATCTGACTCCTACGCCATGTTGGTGGGGACTGTCAAAAGTATCTCCTTTATGCCGTTGTAACTAAGAATTACACTGATTGGTCTTTCCAGCATCCTCAGGATGTGCAGGACTCTCTTCAGTCCAGTGCCCTGATAGTTGTTAGATAACGTTCCTCTGTAACTTGTCATTTTGTGGAGTTAGGCTATCTGCTTTGTCAAAGTAAGTCTTAACCTTAAGCCCTCCTTTCAGAAATGCTATAGTAATGAAAAAGTGACACATTTTCCAATATTTTTACATGCCACTTCCTTCAAAAAGAATCTCAGGAATGATAACCACACTATAAGCTCTGTGTATTATTCTGTTTATTTAAATATTTTACCTTACATTTTTTTTTGTTTGTTTGTGTATGTGTGTGGTACCAGGGATCAAACTCACAACGTCACGCTTGCCAGGCAGGTGCTTATACCACTGAGCTAAATCCCCAGCCCCTTTGCTTGTTTTTGAAACAGGAAAAAATTGCTACTTGCTTCAGTAGTTTCCATATTACTTAGTAATCTTTTAAAGAAATTTTACCATTTTCTGATGTGCTGCCTGCTGTAACTAAAAGTCAGCTGCATAATCCTATCCTGTTATTCTTGGTTTCAGGTCAAACTTCCTTTTCCTGTAGATCAAATCACAGATCTTCCAAGGAACGATTTCCAGATGATGATTAAGATGCACAAACTAACCTCAGAACAGTTAGAGTTCATTCACGATGTCCGGCGGCGCAGCAAGAACCGCATTGCAGCTCAGCGCTGCCGCAAGAGGAAGCTGGACTGTATTCAGAATTTAGAATGTGAAATCCGCAAATTGGTGAGTTGACAGGATTGATGCAAAAGCTACAGCAGGGGCAGCTGAAGACAGAGAGGGAAGGTTCACCTTCCAGAAAGTCTGGATTTATTTGTAAAGTTTCTCACCAGAAATCATAACTTAACATCTGCAGTATGTGTGGAGGTACAAGTGTGTAAAAGTAAGTCATAGCTTCAGCCATCCGTATAGAATTAGTCTTTCAATTTTTTTCATTTCACATGTAATAGCTGATGCTTACTGCAGGCATCTTTATGCCAGGTATCCTTCTAAACTGCTTTTGGTTGTCTCCCATGCCTGTTTCTTGCTTAGTCACAAAAGCCCTGAGGTGGAGCTGCCCTGAGGCTCCATCTTAAATTATTTTTGTGGATGATCACATTTAATCTACACCTTAACCCTCTAACTAGGTACTGTTCTATTCCCACTTAAAGATGAGGAAATTATGATGCAGAAATGTTAGATAACTTTTCAGGATGCACAGAGCTTAAATTCAAGCCCAGGTGTCTGATTCCAAACTGGGTGGTTTTGCCACTGCTTTGTCGGCCCCCCACCAGAAGAATCTAGGTTAGAGATAGGACACCTGCCCATGGAGAGGGGGTCACTCAACCCAATGATTCCCTAACACACTTTGCAGCCCCGGAGTACTTGATTTTGTAGTTCTCTCTTAAAGTGGCTGCCATCTCTTCCCTGTGCCTCGGAGTCCAAGCTCCTCCATGTTGAGTTATGAGCCCCCCTACACCTCCTTTTCCTTGGAAATCATCCCTAAGCTATAGGAATTCAGAATTTAGAATTCTGAATAGAGGCATCCTCTGGCTCCCGATTGTACCTTGGAAGGCAGTCAGCTCAAACTTGTTCACCCTGACCCTTCTGCAGGCCAGATACTGGGAACTCACCTCCAATCTGTATTAGACTGAAGAAGAAAGAGGCCGTATAATATGGGTTTAATCTAAGTTTGAATCATCAGACTATTTGCAGCAAATCCTTTGCCTCGTGGCAAGCCACTGCTCACCTGATATGAACCCAAGAGCCAGGCTGAGATGTTCAGGAAGCAAGAGAAAGTGTTACGTGCTATTAAGATAGCCCTGGCTTCAGGGTCTTTAATTTTTCAACTCAAAGCAAGAGACATCTGCCTGTGTTCAATAATTCTCATCATCTATAAAGAAAAGCCCGAGATCTTAAGTAAGATATATCTTAGGGAATGTTAGATAATAGATACCAAGAGAGTCAGCTAGGAGGGATAAATTGCAATGTTCCACAACACAGGAGAACTACTATCGTTCATAGTGATTTGTTATGTATTTTATAAGGAACTAGAAGAGAAATTTGAAGATCCTCAACTCAAAGAAATATAGTTGAGATAGAAATGTTGATTATCCTGACCTGATCAACACACATTATTTACATATATCAAATTACTATATTGTGTCCCATAAATATATACAACCATATGTGTCAACTTTGAACATTTTTAAGATGCACCCTACCTTTCCTGAGCCAATCTGTAGCAATCCTCCAGTGTCACCTTCCATTCACTTCCTAGAATTCAACCCCAATCAAATCAAACTGTCATCCATTCCCCCATATCAAGTGCTATTTTATACTTCTGAATTTGTGTCTATTCTGTTTCCTTTCTGCTTTGGACATTCCTCATTGTTACCCTTCTCTGTTATCTTTATGCTTTAAGAATCAAGGCACACATCACCTCTCCAGAAAACGTGCCTTTCCTGTCCCAAGTTAGTCTGAACCTCTGTCCTAGAACCCTGATGTGACCTCTGGTTTGATGCTTATCACTCAGGCTTGGATTATCTGAGTCAGCATCTGTCTCACCAGCTCCCAGCTGCAAATTGTAGTCTCCTCAAGAACGAGGACAGTGTTGATCATCCCTGAGTCTCCGGTGATGAAATGGTTGGCTTTCAGGAAATGTCAATTGCTCTGAAACTTACTACAAATTATGACAGTTTAGGTCAGGAGATTATGGGGTTTTTTTTTTTTTTTCCAATTTTTTCTTAGTCTTTTGTTTGTTTTGCCTTGCTGGGATCAAACCCAGGGCCTTACACATGCCAAGCAAGCATTCTACCACTGAACTATATCTTCAGCCCTAATGTTTTAATAGCAACAAAATGTTACTTAAACCAAGGACACAAGGAAACAAGACATCTGCTGGTAAGTGTGGTCCTCTGAAGGTCTGATGTACTTAGGTGACTCAGCCCACTAGGTACAAGTCTACAGGGTCTTAGGCATGTGTCTAGTGAGTACTCAGTGCCCAATATTCCACTTCGGGTAGCAGAATTAACTCCACCATATTTGAGAAATACTTGATTTTAGTAGTTAGCGTTCTGTTTAGTGTAATTTTGTAATACTGAACAAATTACAAAACCTATCTAAAGTAGTTTGCTAGTGTTGTTCAGCCGAAAAACCAAAAAGACATCCCATAGTCTCTATCCACTTTTTGTCAACCCCTCAAATAATGTTTCAGTGCCAAATTAGAGCTTCACATGGTCCTTGGCACACATATGTGACTTGGAGCATCATATGTTTAGCCAAGGTATGACTTATACTGCCCTTTCTACAGAGAGCGCCAAAACACTATTACACATGGCACCTCGTTTTCTTCCTCCTAGGAAATGGCCTGGAATATCTTTCAGATAAGTAGGCCATTAGGGGTCAGAGCCTATCCAAGGTGATCTGGCAGAACTGAGAGTGAGATTCTTCTGGTGCCCAGGAGACATTCCCCCTCCCAAAGATTTCCAGGCTTGAAGGGAAAAATCCAGTCTGTGCATCCTCGCTTGTGAATTTGCCAAAAAAGACTCCTAGATTGTTCTGTCTCATCAGCTACCCCATACCCTGGGCAGTGAGACCCTGGCTGGTCTCAGTGCCAGACGGGGTCTCATTGCCCAGGCTGGCACAGGTGGGCGGGACACCTTCGCCCCCTCTAGGGCTCGCCCTGCACGCTCCTCAGCGAGCCCCACACTTGCTTCCTCCCTCCCACGCTGTCTCCACGCACCCGCCATTCTGCTGTTGCAAACTCACATAATGTATTTCTCTCAAGTTGCACTTGTGCATCTGTTTATTTTTCATTTTTAAAACATGTTTTCTTGATAAATTTATAAATATTTTAGCAGGTACCCTTTCCTCGTGTAAATCTCTCTCCGGCACACATGCCCATGCTGCCTGCCAGATTGCATTCATGTTACAGCACGTGCAGCTCCCGTGTCGGAGACCCGCTCCTCATGGCTCTCGGAGGCCTCCCCTCTCTCCCCTCCCTTCTGCCTCTTGCCACCCTCTGCCTGCCCTCCCTGCCTGCCTAGCAGAGGTCAGGCCAGGACTCCCTTCACCGGGCTTCCCCGCCTAGTTTCTTCATCTGTCTCATCGTCATGTGCATTTATTTCAGGGAACCTCCCCAGCTACCGTTCCCTATACAAATGCTGATGGTAAAACCTTAATTAGTCTCCTTTCTGGTGCTAAATTCACCTCTCTATTGGAGACTGCATGTGAACAACACAAGAACATATGTGGGATCTTGTTGAAAGGGGAAAACCCTGCAAGGCTCGGGCTGTTTCTGTCTTCCCTCCCGGCTCTGGATCCACAGCACGTTCCCCAGTATCCCAAAGAAAGAGTTGTGTTCAGTCTGCTGCACTGTAAAGCAGAGACAGCCTGCTGATGTTTCACTGAACTATATGAAATCGTTGATAATTAATTGTGTGTGTTTTTAAGTAGACTTACTTCAGAGTAGTTTTAGAGTCATAGAAAAATTGGACAAAATGTAGAATTCCCAAATGTGCCCTGACCCTGCCCATGCACAGCCTCCCCCACCAGGATCCCCAGCCAGAGTAGGACTGAATTCCAAGAAACTGGAACAGTGACTCCCTGCAGTTTCCTCATGGGTGGTGACCGCCACCGTGGATGCTTGCCCAGGCCTTAGAGTGGGACAAGAAGATGCCCCAGGGATGGGTCAGTGTCAGCACACCTCTGTGCACTGAGCTGCTCGGGCAGGCGACATGGCAGAAGTGTGTCCCAACGCTCTGGACATGGGAATTTTTAAGTGTCTAGACCCTGACCTACTCATTCATGAGTTACATTGTAATAGGAAATACAAAAAAGCTTGGAGAACCCAAGAAACAAGATCGTGTGTCTTCCAGTTCCAGCTGGATCAAGCCTTTGTTCTTTCTTTGCTGTGTTGCCCAGGTGTGTGAGAAAGAGAAACTGTTGTCCGAGAGGAATCAGCTGAAGGCGTGCATGGGGGAGCTGCTGGACAACTTCTCCTGCCTCTCCCAGGAAGTCTGCCGAGACATCCAGAGCCCCGAGCAGATCCAGGCCCTGCACCGATACTGCCCGGTCCTCATCCCCATGGGCCTCCCTGGAGCCGCCAGTACTAACCCCACTCCCCTGAGTGTGGAGCAGAACATAGCAGCCTCCCAGTGCGCAGTGGGGGAAAATGTGCCCTGCTGCTTGGAGCCGGGCGCAGCTCCCCCAGGGGCCGCCTGGGTACCCAGCAGCACCTCTGAGAATTGTACCTCTGGGAGGAGATTGGAAGGTACTGACCAAGGAACCTTCTCAGAGAGAGGCCCCCCTCTTGAACCCAGGAGCCAATCGGTGACCGTAGACTTCTGCCAGGAAATGACTGATAAGTGTACGACTGACGAGCAGCCCAGGAAAGATTATACCTAGTGACAGATCTGCCTCTCGGTCCTCACCTCTCCCACCTAGGTGTTCTTCAGTCAGCCCGTGGCACTGTTCATCTGTTGTCTCGAAGAACCGAGAAGGAATTGGTGCACACTACAGCAGTCTTAGCAGCAATATGTTCTGACATGTCCCCTCCTCCCTTCAAGCAGGAGTGGTAGATGGTTCCCTCCACAATGGTGCTACCCCTTGCTTAGGCAAGGAAGACAACAGTGCCGACACTGTCTGTCTGTGGGTTAATTTCAGTCTTCACAGGGATAGACTACAACACCTCTAGGACCCAACCACGGATTTTTTTTCTCAGTGGCCCATGTCACAAACCCTATCTCAGGAATTTCTTCTGAATGTTCAATTTTTTTCATTGAAGACAGCTTCTATACACATCAAAGTTTTATAGCTAGACTGTACATATTATATATAATATATATAAAAATATATATATCCATATGCAAAAGTCCTGCATGCCTCAGTTTTCTCACTCTAAAACTGGAAACTTCATTTCTCATTTATAAGCAGGTCCCAACATTCCTCTTCTTTTGTCTCTGATGCTCGAACTAATTTGGTAACTGTTAACATCGCTTTCTTACTTAAATTTAAATTTGTGCTTATTTATGGACACAATTCAGTGTTGGAAGCTTTTTTTCAAGATTTAACTTCAGATTTTTTTTTTTCTGTTTGTTTGGTTTGGTTTTGGCATCACCAAATGGTGCTGCGTGAGCATTGTGGGTTCTTTGTTTGTTTGTTCGTTTGTTTCTTGCAGATACTGTACAGTAATGGTCAACTTTGCCACTTGCACTGAGTTTTGGGTCAAACTTATTTTCTTAAATGAAGTTGTATCTTCATTAAACTCAAGTATACTGTATTTCTTTGCTTTTAGTTAAGAAGTAAAACATTTTAGCGAATTAAAAAGCACTCAGGTGATAATTATGTAGGAAAAACAATCTTGCCAAATAATGAATTCATCCTAGGATGTGTAGACAATAATCTGCTTGAATATTTTTATATTTCACCTCCTCCCCACCTTTCCCTAAGTAAGTGTAACTGCAGATAGAGTTCAGAACTGCTGGATGTTCAGATCTCTAAGTGGGGAGAGAGTTTGGACACCTTGCTCAAAAGTGATCAAAACAGCAGGAATGTGATCCTGTACCAGAACTCATCAGACATTGGATCCTAGACATCAAGGCAGAACTGTTTTCTTACCCAGGGAGAACATCCCATCCCCTTCTGCACTTCATCGGGCCTCAGCTTGTTCTTAGAAGTATTATGCAGTAGGCCTTCTCATTTGAAGGACATGGCTAACCAGCCACCCCGCTTTCCTGCCCCGGATGACCCCCAGGTCGCTTCACCTGAGGGGATTTGAGTCGCAGCCTGAGGTCCTGCTTTCCCATGGCAGCGTCTAGGTTAATGCAGCTCACTGAAAAGTATGAGAGAGCAGGGAAGACTTGAGCCGGAGATTTATCCCTGACACAGGCAAATACATTGCTTTCTCCATTTCCTCTCCAGATGCTTTGAGTTGTACTCTGAGGTTTTTCTGCAGGTCTCTTGTCTGAAGCCAGCTTCATCCTGAAGCTTCGGACAAGATATCATCAGGAGCCCTCGATACCCTTGTCACACAGACACACACAGATACTGACACATACAGACACACACAGAGAGACACACATGCACGCATGCACGCACCTCTTACCCTCACGTGATGATAATTTGCTTCTCTTGCTGCAAAAGTGGTTGGTTTGCAACCCCGAGAGAGCAGCTTCCCTGGGCTCTCAGGTTGTGGCCCTTGGCCATGTTTACAGGAAGGTGTGTCACAAGGAGGAGGAATGGGTTCCTTCCTTCCTGTGGTCCCCGTCTCCTCTTGAGGAGCAGCCCAAGGGCCACTCCCACCTGGCTGAGCAAGAGAGTCCAGAACAGTTTGATGTGGGGCTGGGGTGGTGGGCAATGGGGAATAGATGGTTGACTTTGTTTCTTTATTTGTGCCATTGTTTGGACAATATTAAAGCTGCATGTAAATGGAAAATTTAGTATATGATTAGTGGACGAAAAGTGAAATCATAGTAACATATGTTTTAGTATTAACTTTTTTCTGTACAAATATTAGCAGTAAATGTTTAAATATGTATGAATGTCAGAAGTTTGTTGGTTCATGCAGTAGGATGGGGAAAAAAGGCTTTTCTTTCATAATAGTTCACTTCTCAAACCTGCCTCTGGGTTTCTGTTTTTCCCTCGTGTGGATGTATGTGTGTGTGCTTGTCAGAGACAGATTTGATGAAGCTCTGGGTTAGAGCTACTGTTTTTGTTACAGTTTCTGGCATTCTTAGCCTAGTCGAACAGTTCCGTGCTTCACCAAGGAGGTTTGCCTTTGCGGAACACTGGTGACAACTAGCATTTTAACTTGGTGTGAATCGTGGTCCTTCCCAGGTGTGTGTTACGGTGGAGAAGTCATCAGACAGTATTTTGTTCTTTAACTCTCTTGTTGCCTTTTTAAGTGACCTCTTCTCTTTCAAAACAAAACAAAAACAAAAACAAAAAGAATGTTTTCTGCTTGTATCATAACCAGGTGCAGATCAGCTTCTTGACTTGATTCATCCTGGTAACAACTCGTGTGCAGCTGGTAGTCTTGACCACATTCCATCCGTCTCCCCAGGTTCCTGTTGTCCCGAGGCCCAGACCTGCCGGTGGCCGTTTCCGGGAGCAGAGGGGTCTCTTCGCTTCTCTCTACCCTAACTCAGCCCACTTCTCCCTCCTAGCAGCCCCTTCCTTGTTTTCTCTTTCCCCATCCAACTCCTGTCATGGAAATTGGCCTTTTTTTTCCCCCTAATTGCTCTACAAGCTGTCATTCTGTTTCTTAGATATTTTTAACAAATTCCTTCGTTATCCACCAGTGACTGGCTTTGTGTAATTGTTCATATGACATCTCCATGTCTTTTACTATTCTGAATCATTGCTTGTCACGATCACTTCTGGGCTGATTCAAAGGACTTGCTGGGGACCAAATTGCCTCAAGTGGAATTTAAAAACTTAATCTGTCTCTTTTTCCTGGCCTCCCTTAGTCAACCTCATGTCTTTGAGGGAGGGTTGAGATAGGGTCTTGCTATGTAGACTAGGCTGGCTTTGAACTCACTATGTAGCCCAGGCTGTCCACAAACTCATAGTGATCCTCCTGTCGCAGTCTCCCAAGTACTGCGTTTACAGGTGTACACCACCACATCTGGCAACCTCAGGCCTTTTGTAAAGAGGAAAAGCAAATAAAGAAAAAGAAATGAAGGACACTCCAATCATGCGCTGTTTAGGAGGATCACTGACAGCCTGGTTGGGTTTCCAACTGGCTGGGATAAGAATGGGTTGTTGGAGAAGGGCCAGTGCAGGCACCCCTGACCCTACTTAGTATATCCCCTCAATCTAGTCCTCCCCTAGATCTGCCTTTGTCCTATTTGTGTCTCCAGACAATTTCCCTTCATTCACATTAGTCAGGCTGTGGGCAGGCGAGTGCTTTGCTATATATGTTTGCTTCTCTGTGTTATCTGGGGGTGCCTTGAATAAAATTCAACTCCATTACATACTGATTCTGGAACAAAACAGTTACAAAAACTGTAAAAAGAAAACAAAACTGGCAAAGTTGCTAGGCCATCCTGCTACTTCTCTTCCAGGTTCTCTAGGAACGACTCAGGCGTCAGAGGTGATGCTGCCGTAGAAAATGTTATTGTGTATGTTGTACAAGTAATTTATTGACTGTCTTTCTAAAGGTATGCTGCTTTTTAAGATGCACTATAATTTTGGATGTAATCCTTGTATTGCTTTTCCAAGGAAGTAAAAAAGCAAAAAGCTAATGAGTTAGTATGCCAACTGCCCCTTCTCCTTAAAAAGGAGCTCGAAGACCATCTACAGCACTTGCATAAGAGAACTGACTAAAACTGACACTTTGTTTCAACATTTTGTGATTGCCATTAAAGAAGAAAAAGAAGAGGAAAAAAGTCTTTTAAAAGGAGAGGCCTTTTAAGAAGCCTCAAAATCATGCCCCCAAGAAGTTGCTCTGCTCCTCTAGAATAGCTTGATCGCCTCAGAGTGACTAGAATCCCGCAAACTTTTTCAAATCCATTATTTGGTGACCTTTTTCTATACATTATGCCCCACTCAGACTTGGAATTGTCTTATAAGTTACTTCAAACTGCTTCACTGTTGCTTATAGTTTAGAAGGAATCTCAAACCTAGCAGGGAGCAAGAATCAAGCTTTTCCTTAAGGTACTGAAAATAGACTGAAGAGCAAGATTTTCTTCCCAAAATTGAGGATTTTGTCGTAGGTTCAGCTTCTGGAAAGTCAGTGCACGATACAGTGCCCTGTATGGAGTTGGCATTCATAAAAGAAGTCTGTGTGCATGGAGGCATTTCATGTCCAAAGTGTATGTTTATAACACAGCCCGAGCCATCTCATGACACAGGCATCAGAGACTGATGCTGTAGAATAGAATATATTTGTACACATATAGCATGTGCAAATGGTATTTGTACATAGAAAAAGACTTATCGTGGCAGATCAAGAATAAATTATTTAACTGACAGTGCTAAAACATTACTTGCAAAGAAAAGTAATTGTATAGTATTTTCCTATACTCCACCCTGGGAGATAATATTTATATCAGTGGATATCAGTGCATTTTAATTGTACTATGAAAACGATGCTGCCATTTTGTGAAGAATACCCACTTGGTTGCAGAGGCCAATTTTTGTAGCTTTGATTTAATGTTGTGACATGATGTGTACATTTACAAACAAGCAATGGATAAACATCTCTGACTTTCATTTTCATTCCAGCTTCTTGACCTCAGATAAAACAGTGGCCCTTACAAACGCAGAAGTGCACCAAGACCATTTCAGGTAGACTCGCGTTCAGTGCCAAATGCTCCCACGGGGATAATCAGACATGTTTATCAGGAAAGAGTGAAGGGACTTGGACAAAGAGGGGTTTTCCTACAGATTGATGTTGAGTCTTCTACCAAAACGTGTCTGGAGGCAGAAGGGTGGCCACCACTTGAGTCCTAACGAGGCATTCGGGCTTGCAAATGCTGGGATGACGGTTCACACTCTACAAGAACCTGGCACTTCTAGTGAGTTATCAGGAAGACTGCAAATGCATTTGGGAGCTTCAGGTGCTTGTTAGACACAGTAAGACGTTCAAGGCAAGAGGGCCTGTGAGAATTTGTTCCAGAACCAGTCTAATCCAAGTGCACCTCTAATATATGCCTTACAAACTCCAGAGGCCATATTCAAAACAGGGTCTTCTCAGTGTATGCAAGGGGCTGCAGCCCCTCTTCTCTTCCTCCCCAGGTTGAACAATACGGACAGTTTCCACACATATCTACCTGTATAACCCTCTGTACCTCTCATAACTGGTCAACGACTGTAACAGGTTACATCAGGTGTTTTTCTACATACTTTTTACACAGATTCTATGCGATTAATGTAACTTAATTCAATGCATCATTTTATTGTACTAGTTCTTAGGCTTGTCATTTTTTTTTTCTAAGTGATTGTGGTTTTTCTTGTGGTTTTTATTGTAAAGATAAAATGGCTGTTAATGCTTATTCTCTGTAACTAAGAATTTTTACCTTTTTGGGAAAAAAACAGCAATGCTATGAACTAATGAAACTTCATTTATTCATTGTAAATACACTATTGTGCAAAAAATTTTCACTCAGTTGAATGGCTAGTGTTAACTGAATTTTGTCTAGACACCATTTCTGTTGATGAAATAAAGACATATCATTATGCGTTGTAAATTGATTTTCTCTGCCTCTGATCCCTGCGTTTCAGGCTAGAAAGTGGAAAGCTTGAAAAAAATCTTTTTTCCTCAAGAGGCCATTCTTCTTCTAGTTTGAAACTTATCTTGATACCTGATGAATCTAATTAGAAATCTTTAAAACTTGATGCTGGGCCAGGGATTTAGCTTAGCGGCACAAGTGCCTGCCTGGCAAGCGCAAGGTCATGAGTTCAATCCCCAGTACCCAAAAAAATAAGTAAAACTTGATGCTAATGTAACTTCTAAACTCCAAATTTCTAGTGCCTATAAAAGTAGGTCAGAAGCATTAGACCGAATTTCCTGGTTTTGATACTGTACAATAGCTATGAAAAATGTTACCATAGGAAAAAATACATACACACCTGTAGTACCCAGTTGCTCAGGAGGCTGAGGCAAGAGGATCACTTGAGCATATGAGTCAATACTAGCTTGGGCAGCAAAGTTAAGATCTAACTCAAAAAAATAAAAATAAGCAGTGTCTAGGGCATTAAACCAACATCAAGATGCAATAAATTGTAAGGACAGAAGTTTAGAATTGTACTTTGGTAGATCAGTTGCATAGCAAATAACATCAAGAAACAGAAAATGGGATCATATCAAGTTAAAAAGCTTCTGCACAGCAAAGGAAACAACAAAGTGAAGAGACACACCACAGAATGAGGGAAAAAATTGCCTGTTATTTCTCAGACAGACAACTAATGCAGTATCTAGCATAAAGAATTTAAAAAATCACACTCCCCAAAATAAGAAACAATCAAAAAATTTGCAACTGAAATGAATAGACATTTCAGAAGTGCAAATGACTGATACATACATAGAAGGAATGTTCGGCATCTTCAGCAAGTAGAGAAATGCCAATTAAAACAACACAGATTCCATATTACTCCAGAAGGAATGGCTATCATCAAGAAATCAAGTAATAACAAATGCTAGAGAAGCTTTAAGGAAAAAAAAAACCCTTTATATTCTTGATGAGAATGTAAACTAGTTCATCCACTATGAAAATCAGTATGGAGCTTCCTCAAAAAACTGAAAATATTGACTGGCCACATCAACTGCGACTAAGAGACAGTCTGGCCTGACTGGGTCTGACCACATCCATCTGGACTCCCTGTACTGTATGATACATACTCTGTTTTCAAGGTCTGTCCAACCACGATAAACTAGTCAACGACATACTTAGTTTCAACTGTCCCCTCAGCCCCAGCTCCCTCCTTACTTTTCTCTGCCTTATGTTAAACAACCCCTCTGACTAACCTGCTCAGAACAAACCTGCCTGACAACATTCGACTTGATTCATGTAACCAAATTTATGATAAGCTGCTATCAGCTTGTGTACTTCCTGATTACAAAATGTGTATAAGTTAGGGTTAGGTTTTGCACTCAGTTGGAGCTGGTGACTTGAACTTGGTCCCACCAGACTGCTAGCATAATAAACAGCTGCCTTCCAACTCCTTGGTGGGGAAAAAAAAATTGAAAATAGATGTTCTGTTCAACTCATCTATCCCCCTTCTAAGTATATTACCAAAAGAGTTAAGGACATCATATGCAATGATACACACCCATGTTTATAGCACCACAATTACAGCTAAATCTTGGAAACATCCTGTACATCCATCAACAGATGAATGGATAAAGAAAGTGGTGTATTTATACACAATTGAGTACTATTCTATCATAAAAATGGATAAATTTGTATTACTAGGAAGATAGATACACCTTGGAACCATAATATTAAGTAAAATTAATCAGCCACATAAGCTTAAATATTGTATAGTTTCTTCTATCCAAAATATAAATAGCAAAATAAAAGATAATAAGAATTATGGAATATTTTGCAAAAGGGAAAAGTACCAATAGCTGGAGGGAAGAGGAAGAAGAGAAGGGGGGGATGCTAAAAATTAAGATATGTACCTGTGCCAGCTCCCTATGAGGAATGTAATTATGTACTGCAAATGTACTAATTAAACAAAAATTAGAATCGTACTTGGGAAATAAAAAGAAATTAGAATTGTACTTGGGAAGTTAAGCCAGAAAATTGTATTTAATGGCTTAGGTCTTAGATTTTTGATGTAAAGAAAAACTGAGATAGGCCATCGGGTAGGCCAGATGTCCATGATCACCATGGGGCTTGCACTGGGAGGTAGGAGAGAAGGCCTGGAAGACAACAGGAGCCTTCTGGTTGAGCTGGTGGTGAGGCTCTGAATAATGAACACACAATATGCCCATCAGATCCAAGTTTCTAGAAGTATGTGGGGGGATCCAGGCCATATTCCATAGACCAGATAAGAAAACTGAAATTACAAGGTGCTGAATTCTGCTGTCTCAACACACATCCATAGACAACTATTGAGTCAAAGGCCTCCAGACAGCACGAAATTCTGTGGTGTTGGGAAAGTATCACAGCCATACAACTTTAGGTGCAAGAGGTAGATTATCTTTGCCTAAACCCAGGAAGCACTCAATCCATTCTGAGAAAAACAGGTAGTTTTATAATCCCAAATTTTTCATTAGAAAAACCTGGTCATCTAAAATGATGGTTCCTTTGCATGTTCAACCTTGACATTTGCTCTTGTGGCAGGAATGACAATCATAGTTTTGAACAAAATAAACCTCCTCAGCTATCCATCCTACAGAAATGAAGCACTCAAGCACTGTCCAGCCCTAGCCGGGCAGCAGACATTGTCCTCCCTGCATTGAATGTGTCCATAGAAGAAATTCTTATCTACTTTCAAGGCATGGGGAGGACTGGATCCTTCTGTACCAAGCCCTGCCGGCTCTTTTGTTGTATGTACATGGAAATAAATTTGTTGTATGTACATGGAAATCACCTTAGAAATGTTTGCTTTTCTCCGATCTACTCCACCCCTCAAGTGGGACACACTAACAAGCCACCTAACATTGGCTAGTGGTGGAGTCCTGAGCAGGATTGGGTGCCCAGTTCCTCCCACTGAGCATGTTTGCTTTCATAGAGTAAGTCAACATGAAGAAAGCTACACATTTTATCCTGCAGGTATTGCTCTTCTCATTTTACTCAAGAGTGTGGCTTCTGTTGTCCCCACACCCACCTCAGGTTTCTGGAGATCCTGACACATGCCTGTGCCTGCCCTGTTTGACCAGAAAGAGGCATCCCTGATTCTCCATGTCATTTCAGTCCAACCTTTTGATGACAAGTGCACCCAAGGCAGTGAATGGAAACCTTCAGAGACATTGATGCTAGCAGACGTGACGCCAGCAGACATGAAAGCATTACACTTGGCACTGGGCTCTTCAAACTTTTTTACCTCTATTTTTACTGTGTGGTTGACAACTCTGTAAAACCTTTACAGGGTGAAGGGAATTTAAATTACAAAAAGGGGGAAATGCTGCCATACAGACTTCTGAAAAGGTCTCATCATAAACCTGTTGACAAGACATGACAGAGCAGTGAAAAATGAATAAAAACCAGAGAATCAGAATTAATGGAGAAGGGCGTTGTTTTTGGCATTTAACATATATTCATTCAAAAGCACATGCAACATGCTGAACATCTAAAATTAAAAATGCAGAAACTTTACCTTCAAACACTTTCACAGGCTAGGCGAGCAGATAGATTTACAAACAAATTATTTCCCAGGGGCTGCTGACTCATACAGATAGGAAAGCAGGACTTCCTTGAGAGGTCATGGGCCTCAGAATAGAGTCTAAAGGGGCCTTTAGACTCCCTTGGGCACTCCTACTGGATGACCTTTGCTCCTGGGAAAGTTCTTTGATCTTTGATCTTTGAGTCTTGTTGTCTGATCTATGAAATAGGAATGAACAGCAACAACTCTAGACTATAACAAGCACCTTAAAAGTGATCTGTTTGGCTATTTCCCCAGTATCATTTCATTTGCCTAGTCTTCACTGTCTTTTCTACAAACTCACTGTCTATAGAGGACCAACCTTTCCAGCTCACCGCTGCAAAGCATGAGAACAGAGAGGGCTTTTGTGCTATTTGGGGTAGACACACAAGTCATCCCCAGCCAGGGTTAAGCTTCCTGCTGCAAAATCTCAGCAGCTGCCCAGCTGTCCAACATCTCCTGAAATGGAGAGACTATTTCAATGATTAGAAAATAATTTCTGAAGCTGGACATGGTGGAACATACCTGTAATCCCAGCACTCAGGAGACTGAGGAGTCCTGTGAGTTTGATGCCAGCTTGGGCTACATGATGAGTTCAAGGATACCCTGAACTATATGCCAAGATGCTGCCTCCAAAAAAAAGTTCTTTCTGAAAATAAAGTAGATTTAATATGTGCCACTTTTGTAAAAAATAAAAATTGTCATCCACCAAAAAAGAATCATAGCTGTTACTATACCAAGAATGGAATAATGGTTAACTGAAAGGATACTAGAACTGCCTCCATTAGAAATAATAAGTCCCCAAGCCAGATATGGTGGTACATGCCTGAAGTCCTAGCTACAAGGGAGGCTGAGGCACAAAAAAACAAGTCACTTGAGCTCAAGATTTCAAGGCCAGGCTGGACAACATAACAAGGCCCTGTCTTATGAAAATAAAAGGCCCAAATGGTTGTAGAGATTGTTCACTAGTCTACTTTTTTGTGGAGCCAGAGAATTCAAAGTAGTTTAATATGCAAGATGGGAAAGAGATCAGAGGCAGGAGCCAATACAAAGATTTCTTCTGGATTTCATCTCACAACACATAGATGATGTAGAGCCTTGAGTCCTTGATCCTCCTTATAACTTGAAGCTTTAATTTCTTACCAGGTGTGTGATCATGTCTAGGATCAGACTGACCATTGGATGGAAGATGGAGGAGCTAAGTGACTCCCTATGGGAATGGAGTCTTCCTGTATGGCTTTCAGAACTTATGTAGGCCACAGGCAGCCAAGCAGCCTCGTGAATCAGCCCATTAGCACACATCATGCATGGCACGTGCATTTTGAGGCACCTCTCCTGTATGGCTCAGGACCACTGGGAGGATGAAAAGGGGTTCTAG